TATATATCTATGAAGAAAGTGAGACAAAATTTCAAGTAAAAAGACAATATTTAGCCTATCGATGTGATCTATATAATTACTTTGTCTTGTTTTCGTACCTAAAACAAAAGGAGCTTTTGTCCTTAACAAAGAATACACAAAAAATTAAAAAATAAATAAAGAAGAAGTTTAACTACATGATATCCTTCTCTTTTATTTTCCACTCTATGAATCTGCATGGCGAAAACCTAATCTTATGCTCAGATATGGTTTCAAGCTTTGGCGACCATATTTGATCTTTAGACCCAACAAGTTGTTCATAGTGCTTTTGCAGCTCCGGAGTACTACAAAGAAAGCCACAATTATTGCTAGGACTACCGTTGGATCCAATTTCATTACCTCTTGTAATCAATCTGGTTATGAACTCCGGTGAGACCTTGATCAAAACTCTACCGTTTGATCCCCTCAAGTACTCGAACGGCGAGTCCCCGAAGTTGATGGGACCAGTGTTGGCCTTGTTTTTGAAGGCAGCAAGGGAGGCGGCGGAGAGGACGCCGCAGGCGAAGCGGTCGATGGGAAGGACGAAGTAGGTATGGCCGGGGAGGAGCTCGTCGTGGATGCCGAGCGCCGGGACGGGGTGGCCGATGAAGAAGGAGTCGGCGGGGCAGACCATTCTGTCCGGGAACTCGAACATGATCTCCCCGGCGATGTGCTTCTTTCTTGTGAGGATTCTTGTCGTACCGTCGAAGAATATTAACTTCACAGTTGAATTAGGGCTTGGCTTGAAGCAGGCCGGAGCCATGGCCGCATTCCCCATGAGAGAGAAAGATCAGAGAGCGAGAGAGAGAGAGAGAGAGAGATAATTGTTGTGAGAAATGAAGAAGAGATGTCTATAAATAATAAGAGATGAAGAGGATTGACTTGGATAAAGTCCACGTTAGTTTCCTTATTGTAGGGTTTTGGGGGTCGGTGGTCAGACATGCCGGCTTTGAACATCTCTTTCTTTCTCTCTCTCTCTCTCTAGCCGTTGCGTTAGTTATATGGCAGCTTGTGTGTGTGTATTAAGAGGTGTGGCCTTATTCTTAACCACTACTTGGAGTGATTTTACACCTCATAATTGTTTAATTGATAGTCGTATTTCGCTTACCATAATAGCAATGACCATAATTATATTGCTAGTGTTAATTGTAATTTCTTAACCTTAAATTTGACGTAGCTATATCATATGGTTTATATGATCACTTTATTGGATTAACTATACATGGACAATGATCTTTGAGCAGTTAAAAATAAAACCTAGCATTTTTTTTTTTTTTTAGAATAAAACCTAGCATTGTTAGTCAAAAAAGAAATTGAAAATCAAGTAATATTAGAAAGCAACAAAAAGGAAAAAAAAAAAAACAAAGAAAGAGAATGAGAAACGAACTGGGCGCTGTTGCTAATAGTCAATTTAATTAAGCATACAAACTTATAATAGTGAAGATTCATTTTTCCTTTTCTTATCTTCTATTTGTCTATATCTATATATTTCTAAAGACTAAAATGTCTCTCCATTTCTAGAAGAAGAAAAGAAAATTCTCCATTATCTTTTTTTTAAGAAATAAATAAAATTACAAAACAACCAAATTCATGTGTGTTATTTTTTAGTACACTCATTTTTTTTTAAAGTACATAAGGAAGAAGATAATTAATTCAGATGTTGCTAATTTTTTTATATCTTTCGCACGTCGTTTTACAATTATAAATTAATTATTAGTCTTCAAGAAAAATAACTAATGTAATCTTCAAGAAAAATAAGGGAATTTACAACAGAAAAAGAAAGAAACGGGAAAATAACTGTGTACATCCTCTTATTATATGTACATAAAAGTTCAATTACATACTATAATTTCAACAAAAAGCTTCAGAGATTTAAAAGAAATCTCCTTTTAAAATAGATGTGTTTGAGATCATACATTCAATTGATTATAATTTCTATAATACTAACAAAAGAAAACCACAACTTTCTTATTATTCTCCTTTTGATTTCGTCTCTGTCTCTGAAATAATTTGTTTACTAGGCTTTATCACATTGTTTTTTTTTTGGGAAGCTGGTTTTCATATATCTTGCTTAGAAAGCTTGATTTCAAACTTGTACGACATAATTGGGTGCAACCTGAAATTTCTACGAAGCAAAGAATCAACCAATGACCATCAATATTAAATGCTTCTCAACTACCTTAATAATATCAACTAAATCATTCCAAAAAATCATGATATCATGAGCACAATATTACGAACAACAGCTAGCCGCGGTTTATGAATGCGGTATATATTATTGGCATAGTATTATTAATTACTGGATCCCATAGACAAAATCTCTTTCAAGATTATTTGTAACACAAGCTTTAGATATTGTATAGCTTTTGCGCTACATAGTTTTGAAGTCAAGACTTGGTCCACGACTAATGAACGTGGACGTAATATATATATATTCAAGGGCGGAAGGAGGTGGGGCCGGAGGGCATATGCTCTCCTAGAATTTTTAGAAAATTTTTTTGACCCCTAAATTTTTGATTTTTTTTAATTAAATGCCTATAGTTCTTTAACTTTTTTTTTTTTTTTCATATTTGTCCCAATTAGTTGACCAAAGTTCAAATATTTCTATATATCTAATTTCATGTTGTGTCTATCATATCAAAAGTGATCAAATAAGAAAACATTTTATAAATGACCCATTAATATAATTGTTCTAAAATGTATCCCTATTTAAGAATTTTTCTTTCACACAACCTTCTCAATTGTTATCTCATGAATTCATTTTTTCTAGCTTGCCCTTGTTGATGTGTTTATAATGAAACCTTTTTTTTTATTGTGGCAATCTCAACTTTTAGTTCCTCATATGTACTTTCTATATAATTTTCTATTTAATTTCCCACTAAAATTTTTATTACTCAAATATATTATACGTGTACTCTATACACATGTGCTTTTGAACCGAAAACACAGTTTGATTGAAACCATTCATTTCAATCCATTCTACTATTTTTTTTAAGTAAGTAAAAACTTAAGAGAATGATGAATGTCTTTTAAAAAATTAAACTCTCCACAAAGTTTTATATTTATGCAATAATACAATGAACAAAATTTGTACGTGTGTAACGCATGATTCCAACTAGTTATTAGTATCATGAGTTGATATTTTGAAAATGTTTAACATTTTTTCTGTTCTTAATTTGTGCTCCTCTAAAATAAAATTTTAATTCCGCCATCCTATATATTTGTAGCACTTTTAATAGGGTCCTTATAGGAGTGCCAAATTTGCTTTTGCATTCGTCATAGTCAACTAGTCAAATTTTTAAAGCTAGTTATCCAACCTCAATAGGCATTTGTCTCAACCAAATCATTTAATAACGTCCAAAAAAGTGGATTCACCTGCATTAGCAACGCTCTTTTGCCACTTCAAACATCAATATATATTGTGCAATGAGCTGCAACTTGTTCCCTCTTCCAACTAATTCCATGACCCCGAAGAGCAATTATTAACTTGTTTTGCGCTTTATAGAGACGAAGGGAAAGCGAAACACGCAGTTATATCACATGTTTTATAACTAGCCACTTGCATTTATATATGTGTGTATGATTTCGGATATAGCTACACATATATATACATAAAATGGCAGTATTTACATGTAAAATATGTATCGCAAAATCGTCCATATGATAACACTTAGCAAGTTTGGAATTTTTTTTTCCCATATTTGGTGGGATCAAAAATCCAAAATACAACTTCCTGAATAAACTTAAAATAGAATACATATAAAACATACATATCAATGGTTTTCATATTAGTTTATAACAAATTAGCTCGAGTTATTAATTTTTAAATAAATTAGTATTTACTGACGTTATCAAACGAAATAGGAAAAATTTTGGATTGGAACCTCCACCATTGTACAAGTGAAAATTCAATGGTATATCAGATAGTTAAGGAAAAAAGAAAAAAGTTAGATTAAAATTCTGTACGTATACATATGTGTGTGCATGTGTGTAATGATTAGCTTGGCCGTATAACTGAAAAACTTTTCTACCAAAAAAAAAAAAACTCATGAGACGTTTGGTTCATAGATTAGAATCATGAGATTAGAACCATTTTCGATTTACGTGTATTTTTTATGAGAGAAAATACTGTAACGAACCATGAACCATAATTCAAATCATGATATGAATCATGATCCAGCTTAGCACAACTTTGGGACGTGATATACACTCACTCTTTTTTTTTTTGATAATTATATATATTATATACTCACTTTAACCCTCAATGGAAAGTTATTACAAGGTTTTAAATTGTTCACAATTGGCGTAGACTTTGTGTCCGTTTTGTGCCTTTTTTTTTTCTCGTTTTCCCATTCTTTCTTGAGAAATGTCTGCTTTGTGGGCTAATACTAACAAAACCGACCTTTTAATAATCTCATGACTTGGACACGAGAAAAATGTTGATAGCTATATATTTTTTGACTTTGATTTAAAATTATCATATGAGGTTAGAAATAATTTGTTCATATATAAGACAAGTCTCCAAGTCATTCTTTATTTCCAAGACCAAAAAGCCCTTTGACTTGATCTACAAAACGATGTCCACTGCAAGTTGTATACTAGGTTGAAAAATGATTGAGCAATGTATAATGCCAAAATTTTGGTTTAAGGTTTATTTTCTGTATACAATAAGCGTGACAAATGTGCCCTTACAATAAAGATAGGGATAGTCATAGTCTGCTAATGGTGTAAAATAATATCCACCAAATCCTCATTGTTGCCACACTTATCCAAAAGTCCACCCTAATAAAATTTCAGCCACTAAATACACGTCTGTATATTTGTATATCTAATATCATAATTGCACAATTTAGTAACTATAATGTTTTGAACCATTATTAATTCATGTTCTGCGGCCGACAATTGCACAATTTAGAAACTACCCAAACAATTTGTTTTCTACCATTATTAATTCAGGTATAATTTAAAATCCCCTAAATAGAGATCGTTTAATGGCGTCAGTTTATTTACTTCAAAAAGGAATCAAATGTAAAAAGTAATTAGAACTTATGTCTAAGAAATAACAAATAAACTTATGATACTGGGCTAAGGTAATAATTAGAGTCCTAACCATATTGACAAACCAAATTTGGTAAATAAATACAATGACTACTGACTATTTTCTTTCTTAGTTTTCCCAAGATATGTATTTCCCAAGAAGTAAATTCTTCCCTGATAAAGGCAAAGACTAATCTAAAGTCTTTAGTGTCAATACAGAAGTTCTTTACCTTTTTTAACCCATCTTAGATCACTGGTTAAACGTTCATACGATTACGTTTTAATGATTTAAAAAAAAAAAAATCTATTTTGACATTTCAGGAAAAAAAAAAAGAAAAAAAAATCTAGTTTGAACGCAACAAGTTTTTATATGTTAACAAAAGGGTTGTTGATCAGTCTTGGGATATTTATTAATAAGTGGCTAGGTATAAAGACGTATCAAAAGTTCAAAACCCAAGGAAACATGATCATGACATTGTGTTTCACATGCCTTTTCAAATATTGCATCCACGCAACACTTGTGAAAAGGCAGCTAATTTGATGAATTAGTCAAGTACGGCACATATAAATCCATATACCGTCATATTTACTTATATATTCATGTGCTTTGCTCAAGTTTTGTTATTTAATTTTGGTTAACCCATCGACTTTATAATGATTAATGAATACGGATCATATCTTCATGCTAGATGAAAGTGATACTATATATATATATATATATTATATATATATTTTTTTTTTCATGTTTGAAAGCAGGCAACATAAACATCTAATTAA